TACATACATGCATGTGGTTTTAGTTAAAACAAAGCAAGATCCGAACTCTCTTTTTTCGTGCGTTGATCATAGGGGTGAAATAATCTAAATAAAATAGACAAGTAAACAAATCAAAGGGTATCTGAAAGTAATGTCTGTTAAACCTTGCAAATGAAAATACTTTACTATAATTTTTAAGAAAAAAAAATGTTAAAGTTTCGGAAATTAAAAAATGTTTTTATCAAAAATATGCAGCCTCATTTTAACACTTATCTTAAAATCGTTTTTTTTTGGCTAAAAAATGTAGTTGAAACAGAGTAAATTCCGTTTCAGTTTTTATTTGAACATCGTAAAAAAGATCATTCTGATTTTCTCATGCATGAAATTATTTGTGTAAAATTTTTCAGATCGTTTTCGTGATAAAAATATAGGTACGCTAATGCCAAATATTTCTATGTTTTTGAAATAGATTTATTTGATATAAAAAAAAATATTCTTAATAAAAAATAAATTCCCTTCACAAATTGTTAAAGCGTTGCAGGTTTGCAGACCTAATTTATTTTATTTAAAAAGTTGTACTTTTGCTTACTTTTTCAAAATAAGTTTCGTAAAAATTTTTCACAATATATGCAACAATCTTTTTTAATATTTTCCGCTTATTTTACAACAAAAACATAAAAATATAGTTCCTAAACTTTGTACAAAACTTGCGAAAAGTCAGCAAATTTTCATGCAAATTTTCAAGTTTTTAATCAGATTTTTTGGAACTTTTTGAGTATGCAGTTTTGTAGCCCATTAAATTCTAGTAAAAAATGCAGGTTCGGAGTTAGTCAGAAATCGCATTGATTTTTTAAATTTTTTTTGTTGAAGGGGTTATGCATTTTTTCCATATAAAGTATTTCGAAACTTTTTTTTTGTATAAAAGAGACTGCGTGAAAAAAATTGCCAAAAATCAACGGTAATTCCTAGCTACTTAAAGCTTGTGCTTTAATTAAATGGTGTACAAATCTAAAAACTCAAAAATATTCTAAAAAATTTACACAAAGTTTATGAATTATATTTTTATGTTTTTTGGTGTAGAATAAATCATAAAAAATAATTGTTGCATATATTGTGATAAGTTAGCTGTGCCAATACTTTTTGCCGACAGTGTATGTACATAATTTTCGAAAATATTTGGAAATAAATTTTTTATTTTCAAACCAAAAAGTATCCTTACAATTGAATTAGAATTAAAAGTATAAAAAAAGTGTTGCGAATTTCTGAATATCCTTAGAAATACTGAAATAATCCTCTAATTTCTATAAACTTGCAAAATTTAAAAAATTTTACAAACAAAAAATTAAAGCTAGCTTTTTTCGTTTTGTTTTTTTTTTACCATATTTTATACACAAAACTTTTCAGAAACCTAAAATTTCAGATTTTTAGTTTCCTTAAAACTACCAGTAACTTTTAGAAAACAAATAATTTTTAAGAATATAAATAATTTTTAAGCAAACAAGTAATTTTTAAGCGAAAAACAATTCATTCAATTCTCATATAAAAATTTATTAGGACCGGTAATTTTTTCATGATCCAATGATCGGACATAAACCAAATTAATATGGGACCACCTGTGAGACACTGCCTTTCCTATAGAAGAAGAACCAACGAAATCGGTTAACGTGGTCTAAAGTTATGCGGTACCATAAGTAAAAAAAAAAATATTTCGACGAATTTATAACCTTCTCCGTTTTTGAGGTCGGTTAAAAATAACGAAAACGATAACTCTGCAATATTTTGCGACACTGTATCTTGTTTAAATGATCTGACTTGCAGCGAATGCATTGCATCAATGGAAGGCTTTAAAAATTAAAAACAAAAAAATTCAGCAAAATCAATTCAAAAGCATAGCAAAACAATCTACCCTCCAGAGGAAGTTACGTATACGCACCGTACAACTTTACCTGTACATGCGCTAAGTAAGAGAACCGGCGCAAAATTTTCTCAACACTCTTGCTGCACATTTTAAGAGAGCAGCATTCCCATAGACAGAGGCATTTCACTTGGCTGGAATGTTTGAAAATTTGCCGCTATTATAAAAACCAAAGCACAAATGGCCAAAGCGAGCAGTTGAATGGCGGCAGGCAGCAGCGGTGGTAACACCCGAAAATTTACCGGTAAAAGTAGTGGTAACTATTGTTTCGAAGTATAAAAAGGATATTCACACACAAGGTGTGTGCGCATATGTGGTAGTGAAAGTAAGGATAAACGCATGATTTTTTGTCGTTTTTAAATTTCGTGCAAGAACAAGCGCGCCCTTTGAAGGAGTGAATTTTTGAAGTAATTACCAAAATAAGTGTTTTGGTTCACTGATTTCAAACGCCGCAGAATATTTTTATGGGCTAATAAAAATGAAAAAGGCAAAAAAGGACTTAAAAAAAAAAGTTAAAAGCGCAAAATTGCAAGTAAAAAGTTTTCAACGGAAAATCAAATGAATAAAAAGCCAATCAAAGCACTCAAGCGTGTGACATGTGAATATGTGGAAATGTGTGTGTGCTTTTGCTGTGCGCTAATGCGGCAAATGAAACAACAACAAAGAAAAGACAACACAATAATCAGCAGCAGCAGAAAATAGCAAATGATGAAAATAATAAATATTAAATTTTATATGCACAAATACACATACATTCATACATACATACATATAGCAGTATATCCGATTTTGGTGAATTTGTCGTAAAAATAAATTGCGGTTAAACGCTTGAATGGCTTTGCTTTGGATTTACCTCTAACCAATACTAGTTCGCCGCCATAGCGTGACGCCAAACAATAGCTGACCGGTCGGTCGATTGTGCGATCGACAGCCACAGCGGCGAGCAAATCCTACACAACTATTTGTATATGTATTTGCTTTGGAATAAAACAAATAAACATACATACAAACAAGCATGTACAAATATTTCTTTAGCACTTACCAGTAGTGTGCGGTCAACTAAGTGTGTATTGCTTGTGTGTATCGCCTTTGTGTTAATGCTCGCTTTTATGTCGGCGCTATAGCCAAGCATATGGTACACGCTGGTGCTGAAATGACAAAAAATACTTTTCCAATACAATTTGTGTGCTTCTCTGTGTGCTTGCATGCTCATGAAAAGTTTGCACTTGATTGAAAATTGTAATTTAGTGCAGAGTAGTGGAAACTGGCAGAGGAAATATGAAAGCAGTGAAAAAAAAAACACATTAAAAATATTGCGAAATTTTTAAGTGAAATAGTTGCAAACCGTGCGAAGTGATGAGTGAATATTTTTCTGGTGAATGCATTTAAATCGAAAAAGGAAATAAATTTGAGACACATAGAAAATTTTCGCAGTTCATACTTTTGGAAAATCGAGAAAATAAGGCAAAAAATGGCTAAATTGAGAATCGTTTAAAAAATTAAATGCTCTAAGAAAATCTTAAAAAAATAGAGAATTAAAAAAAGATTATATAAAAATATATTTTTTTTTTTAATAAGTGAGAAAAACTGAAAAATTATTAAAAAATATCGCAAAAAATTCAAAGTTGCCTGAAATGCTTCAATGGAATTAAAAATAATAGCTTATGTATTGAATCACTCAGGAAAATTTATATTTATAATTTAAATTTATATATATTGGAAAAATGTTGACTATGAAATTTAGGTGCTCAAAAATAAATAAACAAAATTATATCAAAGTGGTTCTCTTTATGTAGGATTGGGCCAAGTTCTTATTGAAGTTGTTTGCTGAGTTTGAGCTGCTGCGGCCGTTTTAAATGTTTTTGATTTCATTTAACACGGCCGAAGCAGCTGGTTCTCTTTAGTATACAAAATCAAAACACAGGAATAAAATGTTTGGTATGGAGATTTTTTATAAACTTTTTTTAATTTAAAATTGAACTAAATATTTTTTCAATATAAATGAACACAAACAAATTGCAAAAAATCGCGCTCCCTTTTCAAGCTAAAAATAATAAAAATTTTTAAATTTAAAATTGGCATACATACATATATATGCACATAATCTGTATTATAATGAATTGGGGATAATCTAAATTAAAACTTTTTCTTAAAAAAAAATTATGGTGAAATTAAAGACTTTCAGGATTAAAAAGTTCTTAACTTTTATTTTTTGTAATAAAAAATTCTGTCTTTGCAATTTTTAATTTTTGAGGTAAATTTTTTTTTATATTTGTGACAAAAAAGAATTTTGTTCCCCAAACAAAAAAAAGTAAAAAATATTTGACTGTAAAATAACAAAATTAAATTTTCTTTTATTAAACAAAGTTAATATTCTCCTTTGCACTACCTGCCTACGAAGTAAATAAAAAATTTCAAAGAAATGTGCAGCTAATAGAACTTTGTATAAAAAGCTGCAAGATTTTCATATTTCTTAAATTTAAACGACCTAAAAATTGTGATCTAATTTTTTCCAAAAATTGTATTTCTTTTCAGTTTTAAGAAGTAAAGTATTCTAAATAAATCTCCAAATTTTTTAAATTTCTGGGGGCTTTTGCTCAAATAATTTTTAAAATTTATGTGCCTTTAAACCCACATGTTGTTCTGAATAAATGTGTTTGGAAAACATATGTATTTAAAGAGCTACTTGACAAAATGGTACGTAAAAATCTAAATTTTAGATAATTTTGATACATTTTTTTTGGAAAATCTTTTTTTCTTACATTTCAACAGCTTTCTATTCCCACCAATTTTTTACGGTGTACTTTTCGTCTCATTTGTCTTAGATACTACATATATATATATTTTGTTTTTAGAAATTTGCTGAAGCTTTGTTGAAAAAATGTATACTGAACTAAATTTGTTAAAGAAAAAATGTTTTGTTTTGCAATTTTAATAAGAATCATTTATTTTGTACATTTTTTTGTGCGTCAAAGTTTTTACCATTTTATTTAAAACGCCAATAAAATTGTAGCTCAAAAAATATTTTTCGATTTTTGCAAAAAAAAATGTATTTAAAGCATGCAATGTTTTTTAAAAGTATACAAATTTTGAATGAACTAGAAAAGATAAAGAAAACTATTTAAAACTACTTGAGCAACCCTAGTAAAAAGTGTAAAAAAACTTACAAAATGATCACCAAGCAATTTTGATGTCTTCAATCAAAAAAGACAAACCAAGAACAATATCAAAATGTGTGCAAAATTGTAACAAAAATACAAAAATTAACCAGCAACCCAGCGCCCAAAATCGCACCAATCGGTTGTACAAAACTGACAACTCCACCCGCACCCACGACACCGTCCTAGCCGGCGATGCTTTTGGAGCTCCTCGAATATGCCACAAGACTGCTGAGAAACAATATGACAACAATTATACTCGCAACAACAACGGCAACGGCAACAGCAACAGCAACAGCGACAAATAACATCGCCACAAATTTCAACAACATCTCCATCCCAACCGGCGCCACCCCCGTCGTCACCACTACCCTTACATCACTTCCGACCACACTACGCGACATGCTACCCGAACGTCCTGCCGCAACGCCACCAGCACTCGAGACCTTTAATTCTACACTTAAGACGCTTTTTAATAAAACACTCGCCAATGTGGCGCAAGCTAATTTAAGCGATTATACCACACCGTACACGTTGCTGCCGTCCCTCAACAATGTCACTGGCATTAGCACGGGCATTGGCATCGGCACGGAGGGGAGTGCGTTGGATAGTGGTGGTGCAACAACGGTTCTGTCGTCTGTTCTACCAACGCTACCTGTGACGCGCTATACCATGGAGGCGACTACATCGCTACCCGCGCAAACAGTGGCCACATTCATTGCGGCGGGACATAAAAATCGCGCCACGATAATTGTTTATCCTACAGGTGGGTACATACATACATGCATATACATATGTACATAAGTGGTATTGTGTAGAGCTAAGTGCGAAAAGTACTGCCGTTTGCGATTAAATTAAGCGCATGAAAATAGGTTGAACACCTGCTGAGCCTTGAGTGAAAGAAAGGATAACGAGGTTTGCGTCTGGATGAAAATAGGTAAAGAAAGGATTTTGTTGAAAAAAGGGGTTTATGTACATATATATAGGTAGGGATAATTTAAACTGAATATGTCAAATGTATACCTAAAACAAACTTCGTTCAACTCTCAAAACCCAAAAGTGTCCAAGCGCGAATACTTCCCGCACCCCAACTAATGATTTTTACCTTTTTTCAGATGACTTCGAATCCTGGTACTCCTTATCAGACTTTATCCTTTGTGAACTATTTTGATTTTCATCTGATACTTCATACAATTAATCCTCTAGCTACTTGGTACGAACCTAGGTGGTGGGGATTGGGCTGGTATAGGGTAGTCTGCAGGGCTCCACCTCAGGAACTCAGCTAGAGCCACTCAGCAAATGTTGAGCCAACGCTGGCAACCTTCTGCTTTTTGTGGAAATAAGGGAAGGGACGGTTGGATGTGAGTAGAATGGCCTCACTAGTCGGAATGTCATATTTGCGGAGTAAGTTTTTAGACTATGTGTGGGCTCCGTTATTGGCCAACAATCCAGAGCAGTAATGCTACTGAACTTTCAGTAGATTCGATGACGAAGTCTGAACCGATGCTTAGTTCTGGTATCACGGTGGGCAGGAGTCCATAGAGCGTATTCAAACCTGTTCATCTGTCACGGCCCTTCAGGGATTAGAAGGGTGGTTTTGGTTTGTGCCTGCTCGATACGGAATTGTATTTCAACCCTACGTCGATCCAAATTACGGCAAAGTAGACCTCGAGCTCTACCAAGGTGGTTGGTATTCACATTTCACAAAGTTGATTGGTACCGATAATGATAATGCAGTCTTTTTGAGCATCGTAAGGTGATGCCTTCCTCGCCTGGGCTCACATAAAACACATCGGACCCTGAGCTGTCTTCCTTAGACAGTGCTAGTATTTGAAGTAGTTAAATTCTAAGGATCTTCACAAAGGGATTGGTTCATAAAGTTAAATATTATTAGAGCTATGAGCTAAATAAAATTCGTTTGTTTACACGAGATTGACTTTTCTGTCTTAATGTATTCACAACTTAGGGTAAAAACATAGTGTAGCGGTAACAAAGAGCATCGAGCAATGCGTCGATTTCAAACGCATATGTTTCAAGGGAAAAAGGGAGGTCTGGGAAAACCGGCGTCAGCTCCTTCTAGGGAAATTAGATCCCAAAGCACACACACCTCAACCCAAGGGCGAGGTGCGGCACCTGCTTTAAGGCTAAACCGGCAGGATGCTGCTGATAGAACCGTAGAAAAGGTTACGATTTGATTTCCCAGCCATAGTGACTGAGGGAATTAAATGCAAACAGTAGTCGAGGTGATAGTCGCTCTCCAAGTCTTTTGCTCTGAGACTTCCGACAAAAACTCCTCCATATAAACTACTACACCGATTCGGGAATACCTTTTTCTAAAAAGGGTACCTTTTCTTGCATGTAACCGGTGAGAGTCTGTACATCATCCCTGCTAAGACTTAGCAGGTACACAAAAAGTGCCATAGAGTAAATAAGTTTTAGATAAATAGAGTTTTAGATACAAAGGATCCGTCGTGCTTCACATTAAGCAAGTAGGTCAGCTCTTTCATTGCTATCAAGCTTCTGATAACTCCTTCTCGGATAAACGAGGTTTATTAAAAAAAACATACCTAGCACATCGGGCCGGTCTTGCCAATCTTTGGCAAAAAATCTCTCTGGAGCAAAGTATGTGGCAAAGCCAGGGCCTAGCTCCACCCTAATCCAACCGGGTCAATTCTGCACGGCAGCAGGGGCCTAAGCCGATCATACAGCCATCAATACCAGCCATGCCCTTAGGCATGATGGTGGTGATGCCTCTATAGCCTCTGGAGGTAGGCAGACTGTCATCTCTGATACTGTCTCAAGACAAGTCAAGGATGGCACCCTCTCCACCTCTAGTGGCGGACTCGACGCAACTCGGGGGCAAATCTTCCTAGACTGCCTTCAAGAAGCTCTGCCGGCCATATCCAAAGACAAGCCTGTCACCTCCCCAGCTGTGGTTTCTCCTAAAAGGGGAATATCGGCTTCAACGACCGTGGAATCGGTTTACATGCCCAACTCAGTGAATCCCGACGCCAACCCTTCTGGTTGCACGCTAAAACTTCCTTCCAAAGCAATTGGTGCCTCTGAAAGGAACTATCGTCCCAGAAGATCAGCTCTGCGTATCATATATATATTATATATAGGCTGAAAGATGCCAAACAAGAGGACTTGACCGAAGAGCAAATTAGCTCTAAAGCTTGGACAGAACCTTCCCCGGAGAATCACCAAGAGAAAGCCAAAGCTGACCTTCGAAAGCGGAAGTGCTCGTAGGAGGACAAAACGTCCGCGGGAAGAAGAAAAGGCCTTCCAATATCCAAATTGAAGCAAACAGGTAGACTAAAAAATCCTTTTGCCGATGTTTAAAGCCTGAAACACTATGCATATGTATTTTTCATGTCCAAAGGCGCTCAAATTTTCTAAGTCCTTAATTTCTTAGACTTTGCGACGAATATCTTTCGATTGCGCTCAGCTAAAGGCTAAGCTGAACTGAGCTGAACTGAGCTAATATAAGTAAGTTAAGCATACAAAAAGACTGAACTGCAGGTAGTTCTGAAGGGCATCAGCTGGTTTTGAGTATCAAAACTTTTTGGTGTCTTCTTACTTAACCTCTTCCACTACAAAAAAACTGCAAGCGCAAGTAAACAAAAAAAATCAATTCCACGCGGCGGGTTACAAATTAGCATATATCGACAACAACAAAATTGTCAAACAGATGCAAATACTTTGCAACAGGGCGGAGTAAGTAAGCATACATACGTCAGCCAAACGTATAGTTAGGTATATATATATATATGTATGTAACTAGGTAGTCAAGTAAGAAGTTAATGAACTCTTTAGCAGCGAAACTTTCTTAACACTTCCTCTTCACAAACTCAGCCGCTTTCCTATAAATGCCAGCAAGCGCCAAGTTGTTGTGTGAAAAGTGTTGGATTATGTAGTGTTGAAGCAGCCCATTTGAGCTTAGTAAACTTTTTATAACGTTTTTTTTTTGTTTTTGTTGTTTCTTATACGAAAAGTTTTACCTTACGAAAAGCGAATCTTAATGCGCGCCCGCACATGTTTTGCTGCCGAAAAGTTTTGTGCGCTTCGTGCGAAAGTATTTGTGTGCAGCATGAGTGTGTGTTTACGTGTTAGTCCTATCAAAATAAATAGCAAAGCTTTGCTTCTTGCAAGTATACCTGCCGGCTGTTGGCTGACGCGCTAACTGCCTTACTGCCTGGCTGCTGGCGGAAGCATTGCATGTCCTGGCTTTACTTGACTTGGCTTAACTTACACTCTTCCTTGTTTTTGTTATTTTAGTTTGCTTGAGTGAGATTTATTTAAGCAGATGACACGCGTTTCCATTTTGTACCTAAACAACTAAGCAAGCCAAGTAACTTTGCTCATTAAAGATTTTCTCAGCGCACTAAATTGATATAATAAAAAAGAAAAATTGTTTAAGTTTCTTGCTCATATGAGACGAACAGAGCGGAGCGGGAAGCGATATGCTGTTTCCGAGTTGGGAAAGGGGGGGTGGGAAGCACATCTGGCGTAGATATGCGACCAGTTGGAAAATCGCACAATTCAGGCGGAAAAGCGATTTGAGGTCTGACATGACTTTGGGAGGCAGTTGGGGAGGTCGTATGGATAATAATGGCTTGAAAATGATAAATGTATTTACTTAATACGCATTTGTGGTCTTATCTTTTATGAGATGAATGATTGATGTACGAAATTAAGCTATGAAATCATACGTTTGCTACTTTTCCTTTGGGTAGAGCAAAGTTGAGCCAGACTGTCTAAAAAGTTATCGCAAATTGGCTGAATGTATGCATATACCGAAATTAATTTTGACTGATTTTTATTAGTTAATAACGAATAATGAATCTGTGGTTTTGATCGTTTCATGTTATTAATTACCCCCTTAAAGCTTTCACAGGCTTGAAATGATGTGTTTTACCCTTTACTTTGTCTTTAAGGACTATGGGTACCCAGACCCATAATAATAAAGTCCACTTTACCAATAAGAGGCTTTCGTTAAACAGAATGGCCTTCAAAAACGTTTGCGTTTCATGAAATTTCATGATCATAGGTACTTTGGTTGTCGAGATATTTACATTTTTATTGCTTGGTGGTATATTTGTACCAGCTCTTTGTACATAAGGGTTAATGACATAAGAATTTTTACTAGAAAAACTCGCTTAATTGAGCACCAACCAAGGCGAATTCATATAAGGTGGTGTTGCTGGAACAGCTGCTTTAATTCGCCTCGGTACACATATCTCAAAACTCCTTATGAGTGAAAGAGTGTAGGCATTTTATTTCCCTCTTCCTCCTTGAGCGGATTAAAGCTGAAATTTGACATTTGCGTGGCACCAATATACTTTTTTTCTTTCCAAGATCTTTTGAAGCGCATTATCGCTTTTCACCAATTTTTGCACTAACATTGCCATAAATCTTCTCATGCTTAATTTCAATATACATATATACGTATGATTGTGTATGTCAGCTAATGCACATTACATCTATGCACTAAATTTAGAGGATGGTAAAAAGCCAGCTGCTACCAAACTCGTTAGCGCCCTTCTAAACAATTTTCTTATAACTTTTAGAGTGTAAATATACGTATGCATACGGTGACCATTCGTACCGATTTTGAGAAAATTGTCTCGCTGAATATTTTTTAGAAGTCGGGAAGTATAAGTGTCGCGATTTTCAATATTTTCTTTATTAATTTATTAAGACTGTCCCTGTACTCTGGGCCAAAAAAAAATTTTTGTACAAACGAGGCAGCACTTTCGTTTGCAG